GTTTATAGATAATAAAATTGTGTTAAATAATTTAAATAAAATATTTAGTTAAATTACTAAATATATTTTTTGTGAAATTATCTATACTATATTATAAAACATTTAAAGAAACTCTTACAAACCATTCTTTATGAATGAAGTACTGTTAATTAGTGCATATTACTTAAAATTTAAGATTACAAGTAAATTGTGCGTAATGACAACTTATTAAATCTCCATTTTTAAATTCGTATAACTAACTGCAGATAAACATAATCAAATACAGGATAAACATTAAACGTAAATTAAATTATAATAAAAAAATAGCGTTTTCAAATTTTTATGGAAATAAATAATTATATACATTGAAAGGTTATGTCCGTCTTTTAAAATATATTAAAAACAATATAAACTTCAAAATATATTATCACAAAGTTGGTAAATAGTCTTAATATTTTCCAACAATTCCATCATCTTATGGCTCTTTGTCTCCTAAAACAATAACATCTACTTACTATAATTTATTTTCTTATCAGTTTTGGTCGTATATCCTTGTTTCTACATCTATATGGTCTTAACTGTAACCTATCTAAGTCGAAAGTAAGTAGATCTCTTTGATTAAGAACAGATCCTGAAATGAATTTGTACTGAGTTTTATATTTAAGATGATAAATTGTATTAAAATGGAACTGTATCTTGTTCTGATTCTTAGTTTAGAAAATGTATTACGTTTTTTTATACAAATAAAAGAACATGTTATGCCTTTGGATTCACTTAAAAAGCATACTATAACTTGTGAACTACAAATGACTGTATCTTTTTAAGGAATATATATATATATATATATATATATACAGTGTTGGGTTCACGTGAGACCAAATGTTTTACGTGAGACCCGTGAGACCAATTTATGTTTATTGATCAACTTTATAAGTTAATAATTTAATGGTCTAAATTGCACGGTGGCAATTTTGTAATTATTGAGAAGTCTCGTGGCAATTTTGTGATTATGAATGTTGAGATTGTAGATCTAATCCAAGGGTTGA